GAGGGACGGGCTGAGCCGCGCGCCGCGGGCCCGGGTCCCTGCCCCGTCCGGGGCTGCTCTCCGCTCCGCTCCCTTTTCCTCCAGGGCTACGGGCAGGATCACAGAACTTTGGTTCTGGCAAGTCCCAGCGAGCGACAAGCGCTGTGTGTGTCACCCAGGGGCTTCAGGGAAGAGGGGGACGTTTTCCTTAGAGATTTAATCCAACTTAATCCAATATGCAAGAGACTGAGCGCTCACCCTACCCCACTACCTTATGTTCACCCCCTATAGCATACAGGGAAGCCTCTTGGCCAGCTGAGGTGGTGAGAATCCCCCCTGTTCCTCTGGGAAAGTCTTCCCAGTTAAGGACTTTTTTCCAATCAGAAAAAAAAAGAGAAAAATCTATGTAAGAAGCTCAAGAAACTTATGTAGAAGGTCATTAGAATGTGTTCTAATGGGGGGCGTTGCAGGTAAATCTATATCCTAATCCTAAACTACACATTCAGGGGAGAGGGAGCGAGGCTGCAGAACCACCAAGGTGGGCTCCTCGTTTGGGAAGAAGGTGGGATGTCTCAGGCCAGCTCCTCTGCCTGGGCAGAGCACTCAGCCATAGCCCACCCGTGTTTGTGTGAAGACAAGTAACTGCTGCATAAATCTGACACGAACTCTTACTAAAGAAAAGAGACTCTTTGTGATATTCCATGTGTCTGAAGAGGCTCCACAATCACATTGTCCTTCCCCCACGCAGGGGTGAGGCTGCAGTAGAAGGATGTGTTGGGTGTGGTAGGAACATGAGGATAAGGAGGAACTCAGTAATTTTGCATGTGGGTGGAAACGATGCACCTTGGCTAGAAACTTTGTTCTAGCACTTTAGATGTTAACAGCACCTTGCCTGCCTTCTCCCTCACTCTTGGGATTCTGCATGCTCTACAAGTACTCTGGTATTCAGCAAATAGGTGGAACAAACATTAAACAGCAGAAGCAAGGTAGAGAGGAAATTAGTCTTGAGACAAGCCTGTTGCCTTTTTGTGAGCAAGCAAAGGTAGAGAGGAAATTAGTCTTGAGACTGTTGCCTTTTTGTGAGCAAGCGGATGGCATTCAGCAGACAGAGCTGGGACAAATTCAGTTACAAAACACTGGAGTTGCTCCATGTTAAACTAGAAGCAGCTGATTGCAGACTAGCTGGCAGCTGCTGGGCTTTGTTGACCAAAAAGCTCCAAGATCTTTGAATCAGTAAGACTGGAGACTGGTTACTGTAGAAATCAGTAACTCATAATTTTGGATTTTGATAGAGACACAGTGGCAGAGTTAGCTGGAAGTTCAATTAGATTATTACATTAGTCCTGCCCTCCCAGGTCATGTGTAAGCTGGCAGACACATTCAGCATCAAAAAGTTGTAGTGAGTTGCTTGTTACTGTTCTGGAATTCACTATATAAATCTGTCACTAACAACATCACCATTTCCATTTGATAGCAAGCAGGTGTCCTGAATTTAGGTACACAAGCTGAGAACTGCACATGGAGGTAGCAATGAGTTTGGGTACCAAGCTGTTATGGTGACACCATCCCATCAGCTGGGCAGTCATTCAGTGAGAGGGATGAAGGAGTCTGTGTGTCAAAAGGAACAGAATTGTTTTTTATGCAGGAAAATCTGTTTTGTCTCCATGGTGGTCTCGCAGGGTCTCTGGTTACCCTTTCCTGCCTTTCTCGACGGGTTGTATGCCGAGTGGTCAGCGATGCTGACCTAGCTGACTCTGGCCAGGACAACGGGACTTCCGATGATTCCTGGGTCACTCAGCTGGAAAGCAAGTATGGATTCTACATTGGCTTGGGCTTGGCTGTATTCTCCAGCTTCCTCATCGGAAGCAGTGTCATCCTGAAGAAGAAGGGGTTGCTTCGGCTGGTGGAGAAGGGAGGCACCAGAGCAGGTAAGGCTTTCGGGAGCAGATGGGACAGCTGTGCTGCCCACCTAGGATTTGTGTCTGAACTTTGCCTGTGGTTTGTAGAACTGATGTATCTGAGGTATGTTCCTCAAGGACAGCATGCTCATTCATAACTTCCCTTGAGCACCAAGCTCTTTGGGTGAAGTGTGTATTTAAATCCATGTGTATATGCATGGGGAACCACAGAGTAATAATGCTTACGGCTGCACCCAACACGTCCCATTAGCATTGCAGCCATACAAGATTGCAGCTCTAGCAACAACTTAAACCCTGCCTGGCAGTTTACATAGTTGCATAAGTAGGAAATGAAATAACAAGAATATACTGCTGCATCCCCCTTCTGATTTAGTAGTTTCCTCCAAAAATTCTCAAAGAACAACAATATCACTGCTCCCATCTTTTATATGGGAACACAGAGGTGGGGAAAGGTAAAGCAACTTTTCCAGGCAGAACAGTAAAGCCAACAATAGAATCAGAGTCCACATTAGATTTTCACCCCACCGTCTCCCTCTGCATGCCATTAGGCAGCTTGTTTGCGACAGCTGAACTTGTAAGGTTTTGCTTTTCAGCACCTACTCTGCACAAGAAAGTCTTAGTGTGGTTTCATACTTTCTTATATGAGTGCCTCCAAAAGCAGTGCCAAGCTAGTAAATTGGAAGCAAATCCCTCCTCTTTTTCAAGATATTTTACCAAGGATTAAAGTTTAATGACAGAACAGCAGTCAACCAAAATAAATAGAAGAGTGACAGAACTGCAATTTCTAAGGAATTCTAAAATACAATATTTAAACTTCAGCATTTGTGAGCTTGTTGAGGAAATTTAAGAGGCAAACACTCTCCTTAGCATCCTGGCAAGAGATTTTTTTTTCCACATAGCCTGAACCCTCCCCATTGAGCCCTTCATGCTCTCTTTCACAATCTCTTTATTAATCTTTGAAAGTCAGTATTTCTATGATGGTATCTTAGCACACCTTTACTTCAAGTGGAGGTCAAATCCTGCTGTTACACATCCATTCCTCTCAGATTTGACCTAATAAAAAGTGTTTAGGATGCTCTTGGATTCACAATTTTAAGAGTCAAATCCCTTTCAGATGGCACTTTGTAATGCTTTGTAGGTTTTCATCAAGTTACTTTAATACTGCTTTCCATCAGAATTACTGAGTCACAAAATCACCAAACCACAAAAGGATGATATTAGGATTTCTGGCAGCTGAGGCTCTGCAGGCCTACAATGCACAGCAACACACAGGAGAAGGCACACTTCTGGGGCAGGGTGCAGGCAGCTTCCACTATGGTCACATTGTGGCACAGCTCTGTCCTGGACCACAGCCCAAATAGTCCATATGAGCCCCAGTCTCGCCACCAACCCTGTCCCATTGCTGTGTCTGAGTAACCAGCCTGCATCCCCTCTTGCAAAGCTACAACCCATTTCAGGATTCCTGTCAGCACTTGGGAGAAGCTCCCGGCCTTACCTTAGCTCCCATGCGTGTCTGCACAATGCGAGATGAAGGCAGTCGCCCTGCACGCCTAGGTGTGGAGGAGCCCTGCTGTCCCTCGTCGCTCTGCCCTGGGATCCCATGCTCCTTCCATGGGGAGCAGCAGTGAACAGGCTGCTAATTCAATATAATTCCCATGTAGGATGACACATATACACCCTGCCCTTCCAAGATGCTGTCTTTACCACTCTTTTCTGCTCACAACTGATCCTTCTTCAATGAGCGAATTTTCATCTCTTGTCCTGAAGAACACTTTTGTTAACTTCTGAATACCTGTGTGCTTTGCTTCCCCAGGAGATGGTGGTCACGGCTACCTGAAGGACTGGCTGTGGTGGGCTGGATTGCTAACCAGTAAGTAGGGGCTGGTTTGCCCAGCTCTTGTCCTTGCACCTCAGTTGTGGAAGGGGCCCAGCACCTAATGGTTCCAAGCATTATTTCTGGTGGGGTCCCTCAGCCTCTACAGAGGTACCTCAAGGAACGTCGAGGCAATGAGTGCAGCCAAATGGGATCTCTCTTGCCATCCTGTTGCAGTCCGTCTGCAAAGCTGGTAGAACTTGTTAGCTCAGTTTTACCTAATCAAAAAGATGGAAAGTTGAGCTGCAATAAGGCAGTCGACTGGTCTGGCTGTGTACCAGGCAGAAGGCAAATGACCTCTCATACTACAGAGGGCTTCAGGAAAGGTTGCTTCTACAGCAGAAAGTAGATAACAAGGAGGTGTTCATAGCAACTTCTTTAAGTGCAATTTGTCTTGAACAAACATCAAATCCCCTCTTTTATGCTGTAGCACTATTCTTCCACAACAAGGCTTGCAGCTGTGCAGGGAGAAGCAGGACTCACAAGTGGGTTTTGCAGAGCAGCCTTGACCACAGCAGCAGCTCAAGTTGCCCTTGTCCTGCTCTGATCCTTCAGCTCCTTAGGGCAGAGCCTTGCTCTTGCTGTGCAACTGCCATAACACAGCTGCTCAGGACCAGCCCAGGTAAGTGCATAGTACTCACTGCTTGAGGAATAGAGATAGCTCAGACGAGAGCAACTCCATGCTGACCACGGAGACACAGTGTAGAGCAACCCACACCTCCAACCTGCAAAACTTCCCCCTGCCCAGCTGCCACTCATTAACCACACCAGGCACATGCTCAGGTGTGCCTGAGTTATAGGGGCTTAATGAGCTTGTGTGGATCAGCTGTGGCATGGCCCAGCCCTCCACACACCATCTCAATGCAACATAGAAAAGTTTAGTAAAACTTCTCTAGCTGAGCTCTAGTTATTTTGCAAATATTCAAGAGAAAACGCACACAAAAAAAAGCATGTTTTAACTCCCTGGGTGTTTATCTTTCTTGTGTTTGTTTAGTGGGTGGAGGGGAGGCTGCCAACTTTGCTGCCTATGCCTTTGCTCCTGCGACCATCGTCACGCCGCTGGGCGCCCTGAGCGTGCTCATAAGGTGATTTATGGACCTGTGCTTTACCATTTGACTTCTGTTTGTTTGTTTGCCTGATTGTCTTGTGAGGTAGTAAGACTTGAGGTATCACTAGTATGTTTTATTCTTTCTAAAATAAAAATGTATTGGTATTCTCTTAAAAAAAAAAAAAAAAACACCCTAATAGGTGGGGATGGTTTGTTGGTAAAAGGTCTGAGACCCTGTTTTTAAATAATTACTTGCCTCACATCATATTATCTTTATTGAAAATGACTATCTATTTTTGCAGACATGTATACAGTTCCTTTGCCTTTAAAATTTCCCTAGACTTAATAGTTCTGGTGGTCAAGTTAAAAATAATGGAATTTATCTGTTGTTTCTGTGTTTCTCTGTTACATTAATCCTTGAATTCCTTTCTTGGAGCACTAAAAAATTTCCAATATCCATAGGTTGTGAGTGGCTCTGGAAATACCACAAGTATTTCTGAAGGTGTACTAATGTACTGAGCATTTCTTTTCATCCTACTCATATGTGACCTGGGAGCTATAGAGACTGAATCTGTGTAGTCTCAGCTAGGCAGTAGTTGCCACGTGAATCTGTAGTAACATACTGGAATTGAACCAATTTGCTCCAGATTTGTGTCCTTTGGTCAAAGTTGCTCTTTCAGTTATTTTAGCTGCTGTTCTTCTTTCAAGGACTCAAAGCACCAGCAAACATTATTTTTCTGTCCCATGTAGTGCCATCCTGTCTTCCTATCTACTTGGAGAACGGCTAAACCTGCTGGGAAAGCTGGGCTGCACGTTGAGCATAGTGGGCAGCACAGTGATGGTGATACATGCCCCGGAGGATGAGGAAGTCACAACTCTGGACGAAATGACTTTGAAGCTGCGAGAGCCAGGTATGCCAAAAACTAAGCAGGACCCCTAGGGATGGAGCCCAGTTAGTGGGAAAATCAATTTTATCATATCTGTGCTTCACATCTCTTTCTGGAGTAAATCCACAAAGCCTCCTCCACTTTGGTGACTCTATGCAGTTGTTAAAAGGACCTATTGCTGTGTAACTGAGGTTCATTACTGCTTTGCACTGATTTGCATCTGGCCAGTGGATGGTGTGCCAAAGCAGTATTTTCTCTCTCAGGGCTGGGCAGTATGTTCTGCTCCATCACCCACAGCCCCAGCTCAGTTTCAAGTTGTTATTTTTTTCCTCCTTCAAGGTTTCCTTGCTTATGCTGCGATCCTCTTGGTTGTTTGCCTCATCCTGATCTTCTACCTCGCACCTCGCTACGGCCAGAGCAACATCCTTGTCTACCTCACTATCTGCTCCGTTATTGGGGCCTTCTCTGTGTCATCCGTCAAAGGCCTGGGTATTGCCATCAAGGGCTTCTTTGCTGGCCGGCCTGTGCTGCAGCACCCATTGACCTGGATCCTGGTCATCACACTGGTGGCATCCATCACTACACAGATAAACTACCTCAATAAGTCTCTAGACATTTTCAACACCGCTTTGGTGTTTCCCATCTACTATGTGCTGTTCACCACTATTGTCATCACGACATCTATCATCCTCTTTAAGGAATGGGTCACTATGACTGTCGTGGACATCATTGGGACAGTTTGTGGCTTCCTCACCATAATTTTGGGGATTTTTCTACTCCATGCCTTCAAAGACATGGATGTCAGTTTAGGAAATCTGCCCCGGGTCCTCCAGAGTGAAGAGCAGGCCCCAGTCACCCAAGATGACAAGAACATCCTGATAGATGCAGACAACGGCAGCATTGTTCCAGAGGATAAACCAAAAGTGTTCATGATCTACAGCTAATGCATTATATGTGAAGATCTGGAGACTGAAGATTTGGAGGAAAACTGCCCTGAATAGCTTGATGTTAATATTCCATATGCTACCAAGCATTTAAAAGGAAATGCAGAAAATAAAATCCACACTATCATACCCAAAGCCTAGGAGAGTCAAGTGAAGTCTTTCACTGGCCTTTGGATTGATCATTGCAATGGCGTGTCAGCAAGGGTTGTGTTTAATTGTCGCTGTTAATTAATCCAGTCAGCCGCAGAAAATGAAACACGATCCTCCTGGGATGAACCTCCTCTCTGGGGCCCAGTCTGATCCCTGTCTGCTGGCAGGTTCAGGGTTTATTTATTCTGATCTTCTTCCCCAGGGCAGATACTGTTGGTGTGTTTATTTCCAGGCCATGATTGATTCATTGATTAGTGCTTTTTTAAAATTGTTTTCTAGACACTTGTACAGAATCTGAAGGCAAGGATTGAATAGTGTACTGTTGCTATTTAAATTCTGCTCATACATTTTTTTTAATTATCTGTTAGGGTGTATGGTGAATTTTGGAATAGAAGCCTTCTACAGCTAATCAGCAGGACCCAAGCCATAAAGACTGTGGCAGAGAAATCCGTTTAAACTTTTGTGACATACAGGAGTTTCCCTGCAGGAGGGTTAATCGGTTTCAAGCGAGATTTTTGTTTTGCTTTGTGGTTTTTAAGGTTTTTCCATAGCAGCTATAGCGCCTGGGCTGTGCTGATGGTTTTGATGAAGCTGCAAGGCCTGATCCAGACCTCACCCCTGATCAAGATGGTCCACTCTGGTAGCATCAACTAAGCATCAGGAGAAACAAGCCCTCTGCCCATGACAATTACCATGTTCCTCCAGACTTCTTGGTGGGCCATGAAAACCTTTTCACCTTGAAAGACCAAGCGGATGTAAGTGTTAAGGTGTTTCTGTTTGTAAATGGCTTGTCCCAAGAGGATCCCTGGCTCTGAGAGGTTGCATGCACAAGTGCCATTCAGTTTTTCTACCATTTTGTTGTTTTTAAGCCTCAAAGCTTTTTCATTTAAAGGAAGGTCTGAGGTGTAAGCAGGTGAAGGTCTGCAGCGCTGTAGAGGTGCTGTTTGTCTCAGAACGGTCCTTTTGCCCCTTTCCATCTCTCTGGGCAAGGTATTTGTGCTAACTACACTGCTCACAGTTCACCTTCAAAACACGCTTGGACTTGTATTAAAGGTGAGAATGAAAGGATGGGAGAACTCGCATGCTGAGCTGGGGGGGAAGGAGAAAAAGGCAGTGACCAGTCAAAGTCACTGTACTGCTGGGGCTTGTACCCTGGGACACGGGGAGATTGGGAGCACATTTACTCACATAAAGACCCATATGGGGAGCAGTGAAGCCTGAGCTGGTTTCACTAGGCTACTCCACGTGGGATTAGCTCTGTCCAGGCCACCCCAAGTTCTGTCTGGGCTAGTAAATCCTGTGAGAAGTCACCATGGGGCAGCGGCTGAGCAGCTCCTGGATTGGAGCTGGACCTTCTGCTTGAGGTCCAAGTCCCAGCTTGAGGCATGACAAGCCACCGTGTTGTGCCTCACTGTAGATGTGTCCCTCTAGGAGGAAGTTGCAAACTCTTTCAGGACGATCTCAGGGGGGAATTTGGAAAGGGAAATAAAGGCTTTTTCAAAAAAAAAATCTTTCAAGGTGCACCTGATAGTTTTAAATGATTTCTCTGATATTATTGGTATAGCTGAAAAGGATAAGTAAGCTGCAGGAAACCTGAGTGTTGCAGCACAGTGTTGTGGCCATAAAGTAAAACAGAGGCGCCCTCCCTTGGTAGTAGAAAATACTCCAAGAAATTCTGTGTAATTTGGTTTTGGCATCGCAATAGATTTTTGCTTTATGCATTATTTTAGAAATAGCGAGCAGACTGGACTCAGCCTTTCTGTGCCCCAGAGCAACATCGTAGAAAGGCCATTCCTCCATGAACTTGTCAGCTCCAGGATGTAATGGTATCACATAGTGACAATACACTTATTAATGACAAGTGATAAATTTATTAGGAAGTAGGCAAAAGGCACAATGAATTGCATTCTTCAAGTATTTGCATAGATGCACAGAGAGAATTATTGTAAACCATTAACATGTGGATGTAAGGAAAGTGAGATGTACTTTTATACATGTTCTCCTAAGTAATATAGTCTTCATTTTTATTTTTTTAATACATTCTGTCATCTCTTATTTCTCACTCCAGTCCATCTTTCTCTTTCACTCAGTGTGGATGCATATGAAAATATTAAAGGCTTTACTAAAAATAACCTTTGGGAGGCTTTGTGATATTCCATTACTAAAGCTTCCCATTAGGGTTTGGCCATGTCCAGCTTTCTGAGCTTTGTGTGTCTGGAAGCATTTCTGCAAAAAGGGAGCCCATGCTTGCACACAAAGTGCTATGAAAATGTTCTTGGTGATTTTTGACAGTCATCTGATAAAAATCAAGGACTGTAGCAGATATATGCTGCTGTCCTCAGGAGCCAGTGAGGGCTCAGATACAAGATCAGGTTGCTGTGGTTTAATCTATGTTATGATAGCTGCTACATGAGGCCAACTCCTGGCAGATATGAAGACTAGGCCTCCACCCATGAGTACTAAAACCTGCTGTTACACAGGCTCTTTAGCTATCTACCTTCTAAGGAATGACAACTTCGGATGGTTTGAGTTTGAGGTGGATCTGTTCTCATCACCTCAGGTAGATGTTGACTGATGTTGATGAGGAGAAGCTGACACCAGAGGGAAAAATGCTCCAGGTTTAAGTGGCTGTCAACACAATTCCCCTCTCACCAGCTCCCCTTCACAGCCTTTTGCCAGGAAAATTCCTGACCAAAGAGGGCTTGCAAAAACCCTTTGGTTTCCTCATTGCATCAAAGCACCAACATCAGCAGCAGTCTTTGAGGACAGTGATCCTCAACTGCAGAAAAAGATATGTCAGGGTTAAGAGATCCATGTCTTTTGTTTGCTGACCGTTATTTCAGAGAGGAATTGTTTAAGCTGATTTGTTTTCTAGGTCTGTAGAAGGTAATAAAAAGTCCAAAATGTTCAAGGCTATGAATAATTGACCAGAAATTCAAGATACACCCTGCAAACTGTTTCCTGTGGAGAAAGAGGTAGTAATGTTGCAAAATCTGGTTTGGTATAGAATTACTGTTAAATATAACTACAAATTTAATCTGAGTGCTCACAACTAATCTTTTTTTTTTTCTGTGTAGAGTTTACGGAAAAAGAACTACCAGAATTTTTTTTTTCATTGAGCAAATACTATGATTTGTAACTTGTGCAGCAGCATCACACTGAAGATTTCTGTCCATGCTAAACCAGAGAGTAAGTTGTTTAATCCCTCCTCCAGAATCCCCTGTGTTCTCCTAGGAAACAATTGAAAGGGAAACAGAATCATTTCAACATAACAAAACTGCATCATTTAAAAATCCTGAGGGAAAAGAAATGTACAAAAGCCCAAACCAGTAAGACAGAAAAATCAGACTCACAACGGTAGGTCCACAGGGTCAGAACCATCAGCTGCTTAAAGTGCACATGGACACCTTCCTCCAGCAAGTGTGTTCTCCTAGGAAACAATTGAAAGGGAAACAGAATCATTTCAACATAACAAAACTGCATCATTTAAAAATCCTGAGGGAAAAGAAATGTACAAAAGCCCAAACCAGTAAGACAGAAAAATCAGACTCACAACGGTAGGTCCACAGGGTCAGAACCATCAGCTGCTTAAAGTGCACATGGACACCTTCCTCCAGCAAGAAAAAGCCTGGAGGAAACAGCCTGTCCTATGAAAGCACCATGTATCATATTAACTGCTCAGCACAAGCTGAAGGTTCCCACCCACCCAAACCAAAAAAAAAAAAAGAAAAGAAGGAAAGTGTCTCCTGAAGATGGGCAGTACCGCGCAGTGGAGAGGAGGCTTCTGCACTTTGCTGAACCTCCCTCTGGCCATTTGCCCCGTATCCTGGTTTGAGAGTTTCTCTATCGTACCGTGCCTGGTTCCAAGTGACACCAGCAAGGGCTCTTTGGTCTTACAGGACCAAGGCAAGATACCCAAGTGCCCGGCGAGATCAAGGTTGCAGAGATCTTGCTGAAGACAGTCGCCTTCGGAAAATGCTTAATCTGCTCTACCAAAAATCCGTAATCCATAGTGAGGCTCCAGTTATTTCAACCAGGAGTATGTCCGTGGGTTGCTTGCTCTCTGCCATGGCCCATCTTGCCAGCCACTGTAAACTGAGAATAAACTGGAGCAGTTTTATCAAGGGCTGTGTCCTACTCTCCTGAGAGGCAGTGGTTTCTGTATAGCACCAACAGATGCTTCTACAGCTGCTGCATGGGCTGAGGGAAGCAAACAGGTCTGGATCTTACATAAAACCTGTCAAGGATAGCACCTGGGCTCAACTCATTCTCCTTAGAAACACTTAAATAACTTATAAAAACACGTGAAGACCCCACCCCTGCATTGGATATTGCACAATAACATTTAAATACCATATACACAAGTCACCTCTACGCAGGAAAAGCTGTGAGTGTGGTAGATCGAGTCCAGCATGGCAGGCATTGGCGCAGTTTCTGGGTATGGGCCTGCCAAGCCTGACTGCAGCAGCTCTAGTTGGAGAGAAAAACAGAGGATTTTGGAATCTGCTTGGGACCACGTACGTTTGCTGGGGTGATGAGGGCTGTCCAAGCCCTTTTGAATCCTGGGGGTTCGCAGGTGCCTGCGGGAGCATGGGTGTCACCCGTTGAGGACGCTCCTTGCTCCGGCCATCCTGACTCCTGCGTTCTGCGAAGGAGACAGGGAGAGGTGAGCCCTGGCCTGAAAGGAAATGCTGCCCGCTCCTTGCTGGCACTGCCAAAGCCAGGGATGCTGCCCCAGCTCACACGTATTCCCACCCTAACACCTTACATGGAAAACTCCCCTGCTCTCTCCTTGATTTTAATTTTAATTAAATTTAATTTTCATTTAATTTTCATTTTTACAGCCTACTTCAAGTATGCTGTAGGCTGGTGGTGGCATCTGTGCTGTAGAGAGGGGAGGTGTTTCCATGGGGGTGCAGTTTTTGCCTTTGCATCATGTACTTCCACCCCCTCGTTACTCAGCACTCCTCACGTCTAATCTGGGAGATGCTCAAGGACAGGGAGAATCAGGCTGGTTGTTTCGGAACATAGCCAGGCTGAGTATATGCCTGCTCTGAGCTTTGCTCTGGCTATGCACTTGGTTTTGTTTAGGATTATTTGGTTATTCTGAATAATCAGGATCAGACATTTTGTTTAACCCACTAAAGCCTTCATAGGTAAAAACAGAAGCCCTTACAATAAAGCCAACACCCCTTGAGGCCCATCAGCCAAGACTGTGCATGAAGGTGTTTCGCAGCATGATCGCGAGGTTCTGCTCTTCGGGGTAGTTTTATTTCACAGTGGTGTGTCCCCCTCCATGTGCTCTGTGTCCCCACATGCTCTGATCCCTACCTCTGCTGCTGGCTGCAGATGTCCTGGGTTCCTCCTGTGAGCCAGGGGCAGGGGAATTGCAGGGCCATCCCCTGGCTGGGTCCTGAGTCTGCTGGGGACAGGGTTCGCTGGCAAAGCTCTTTGGGGTGGCCTGGGCCTGGAAATATCCTAAGCAAGAAAAAAACAGCTTTGACTTGCCCCTACATACACTCCCTACAGGACTGCATGTACAACGTATACACGATGCGGTTGTACAAACACACACGCACAGTCCAGCAGCTGCCTACAGTCAATTATTGCTTTGTTGGTGCACAGCTATCCCTAGTGGGATTCTCTGAGCATTGTATTTTCCATCTGTCTAATGAATTTCAGCATAAAGCATGCCCCTGGGGAGAAGGGAGAAGTGCTAACTGCCTGTTGTTGCTTAGTTTCTGGGCTAGGTCTTTGGTTTACAGGTGTCGATTTAATAAACACAGCTGCATGAAGAAATTGGAGGGCACCCAAAAACCCTGCCCTCTCCTTCGACTACGTGCAAGTGCAATGCTCGATGGCTACATCAGCTAATGCTGGGGGATCTATCGCTCCCCCAGGCCTTGCCTCTGCAGCTGCAGTGGGAGCAAGACAAGCAAAGGTGCTCCTTGAACCCTGCTCTTGGTAGAACAAGAGCAGCAGAAAGGGAGCAAATCCGGCAGATACCACAACCGTCTAGGAAGAGACTGACACTGGCAAACAGTGAAATTAATGACTTCCTGTGTATCGTTTAGATCTCATGGCCCTTCTCCAGCCCAGAAATGGCTAGGCTTCTTTTGGAAATCCTAGGGCAAGTGTCCCGTCTAGGACATCTGACTGATATAAAAAGACTGGATGTGTCACAGAGGGACCACAATGTCAACAAGCAGCTGGGAAAGATACCTACTCCTTATTGATTAGATTTGGCTTCCTGCTTTTGTTTTGATTTTCTTTCCTGCCCACATGTGGCTGTTCATAGGAACAACGGAGTTAGAAACAAAACCCATTCACTAAACCATTTTGTTGTTATCTTCCTCTATATGCTTTAGAGGTGCTGCCTGGAGCCTGTTGCTGTGCTCTATAACGTGAGCCTTTTCCTTCTAGATGGACCTAACCTAACAAAGTTTGTGGACACATTTTTGGTAAAGAGAGGTTAGGTCAGAGCAAATCGATATTTTTTCCCATAAAAATGTGTGTTTTTCACTAAGCTTAGAACAATATTACCTGTGAGGGAAATAGGTAACACCCCCTTTCCTTTTAACATTCAAAGTAACCTGGTGGTGAGGACACTCTGATAAGATGAGTTGGTTAAGTCTTATGCTTCCTCCATTCAACCCTATTTTTGTTCTCCAGTAAAACTAAGAGAAATTTTGTTCCATATATGTCCCTACTCCACGGGGAATGGGGTGGTACAGCCCAGCTCATTTGCCCCAACTTTCCCATTAGGATGCCAAGCTAAGTCTAAACTAGAGCAGAACAGCATTGAACACCTGGAGGAAGGGAAGGCTCTCTCACAGAGCTGCTGTGCCCAGCTCCGTGCTGCCTGGACTTAACCCCATCCCGGGACAGCCCAAATCACAGCCAGACACTGGGAGAGGGTCTCATGTGCCAGCAAGCACTCCTAAACCTACACTGCCATCGAGATTCAACAGGCTTCACCATCCTCACTCCGCAAACTCCCTACTCACACTTCACCTGCAGGACAGCACAGTGTCATCCTACCTGAGACACCGGGGCTTTGGGAGCAGGAGGTGCTGGCCTGCTCGGCGGTGTCCGCCTGGCAATGTCCTTTGTGACCATCTGATGCGCTGGCCACGAGGGTGTCCGAACACCACAGCTGGAGCCGCTGGAGAAAGCAGGAGGCTGGTGTGCATTTATTTGGAGACCTGGGGCTTGCTGGGGAGGAGGTTTTGGTGGGACTTCAGGGAAGCCAATAGCCTGAGTGGAAGACACACAAATTCCAGGAGTTAGTTATTTCCACCTCGAGACAGTAGTCTAGAACAACTAGGGACAGAAGGTAGAAACAGGGGTAGAGAGTACAGAGTAACTCAGCAGTAGGGCAGTATGTAATGTTTGCAAGTAAATCCAGGGTTTGCAGTTTCTACATTCCTGCAAGCAGGATATGGCAGGATAGGGTCTATTAGGAGAAACGAGTGTCCAAACAGGGCTCATAAATGCCTGCATCCTTTTTTTAAGGATATATACAGTCAGCTGATTTTCAGCCAGGGTGCACAACTTTATTTTCTCCATCATTTGAAAAGCCATCTCTAATTGCAAGCTGAAAGAGAACTGAATCCCACTTATCAGGACAGCTGTGTATCGCCCTGGCGAGGGGTAAGGTGACATTGCCTCTACCTTCCTCTGTCCCTGAGGGGTTTTCGGCTTGAAGGCAGGGTTTGCATGGCCGTTTCCAGGGGTGTCACTGACAAACAGAAAGAAAAGGTAAGAGCAAGAGTTATTTCCTTGATATGTTTTCTCCTTTTTCTGTTTCCATAATTTAACAGAACAGTTACTCAAAAAATGAGAAGCAAATGTGGAATATACCAACAATCCTATTTAGTTATATTTCTAATAGCCCTTGCAATTTTTCTTCTGTGAAAGGGGTAGATAAAGAAAACAAAGCCTAGCTTTACTGACTTACCTGAACTGTGGGGTCTTCCTTAGAGAACAGATGAAAAATTTATGCCAGCATTTCAGATAACAAAATAAAATCACGATTCCAATAACAAGAAGAATTGGAGCCAGGACTGCTAGCGTTATTGCTACCACTGAAAAACCTGAGAATGAGAAAGTATAGTCAGTTAAATGCAAACTCTCTGTTTCCAGCCTAATTCAAGACTTTCTGAAATGCCACCAAGGTGGAGTTGGTCCCACTCACCTTCTGGCAGTGGGGGACCACTGTCCAAGCTTCCTCCCAGCCCTTCCTTGTTGCAAAATGGGGGAGCCCATCCCGGGTTGCAGTGGCAGTTCTTGTTGTTATTGCAAACCTGGAACAGGAAGACTCAGAGATTTTAGTGCTGTGTCCTAAAGAAGCTACACAGTTGACTCTTATCAACATAAACTGGGAGATAAATGCTGTTTTCCTTCCTTGGAAATTCTCTCTTTCTCCAGAAGCCAAGGATGATTGTGCTGATGTGCCACTAATCACGATTCAGGAGAAAAGCAGCATTTAAAATTTCCTTTCCTGTCCTTATCTCCACACAGAAGGGCTAATAAAGCAGAGCTTTATTGCCTAGCTGCTAAAGGAGCCCCTGTGTGTTTTACCCTCCAGGCAACCCATGGAGTAGTACCAGAACTTAGCTGAGAAACATCCACAGATGAATGATGGCTCATCCTGCCTCAAGCCAAAATGGATACAAAAAGGAGAACACCTACTCCATGCCCATGGCACTTCTTGTTACAGCTTTCAGATTCAAAGATGATGGATGTGTTCTGGCAGCGTCCCTCAAAGCAAACCTGCAGAGAAAGGACTGGGATTATGAACTGCATATTGCCTTGTGTTATTTTGTGTTTGGAGGACTCCCAGACACCTCGGCAATGCAAGTAATACCATGGGCAGAACAGAGGGCTGTAAAGTTAATGTGGTTCCCAAGCAAATGCCTAGCGACCCCCCTAACTTTCAGATAAAATAAACCAGAGAGAAGAGTGGGAGCTCAAAAGTCAATAGCTTGATATAGTCATGGGCATCACAGAACAGATTTAAGGTATGGCAAGTTCTTCCAACACTTCTCAGAAGCCGCTAAGAAATTAATTTTCTAACATACATAAATTCCCCTAGAAAGGCATTGGTTATAAGAAATGAATGGCTTAATAACCACAGAGCACTTTTCAGGCGGAGTACTTTAAACTTCCCCAAATCATTACGGACAGGCTGTACCTACATGTTGGCTCCCACATTTTGTTCCCGTCAACACCAAGCCAGGGTCCAGCATCTCCTTTTCTTCGCTCTCAGATCTGTACACGTGCGTCCCGCGGCACCTCAGCTGTGTCCTTCCCATGTGGATAGATGTGTCTATAGCAACTGCATTGGACTGCAGGGGTTTGGAAGCAGAGCTCTGACACTGGATCTTCCCACATTTAGCATCCCTATTTTCAAAGGAAAGGCAAAAGTGAGTGTTTCTGGCCTGGTGAATGTTTTGCAGACATCTGCAGCTGTAAATGTAAAATAAAGCAGCAATGCTGAGTCATTGCTCAAAGGAAGAAAAAAAAAACCCCAGAAACTATTCCAGGCAATAGTGTTCAATGATACTAAAGGTACCATTTGGCCATTCCTTTTGGGTAGGCCAGACTCAATAAAATCATAGAGAAGACAAAAAAGTTATTGCCTCAGTAGTCTGATAGAAAGCTGCATCTGAGCTTACAGATTTGAAAATCCAATTTTATGCTGAAATTATATATATATTTATATATAATATTATATATAAATTATATATATTTATATATAATATATATTATATAAATTATATATATATCAACTAGTTGTTTTTAAATGTAAAAGGCAGGGGAAAGGATGACGTCAATGCTTCAGTTGTAAAGACTCTAAATCCTAGCAGAATGCAACTGGTTTCCCAGGAAGCAAAGAGAGGGAGTGAAATGGGAGCATGATTTGGTTTAATCTACTGGCCCATAGATTTGTAATATGTAGAAACATCAGTTCCCCAACTAGCAACTCTTGGCTGCTGGTTGGCTTTTTACCTCATCTCACACTTCCTGTAGTTGCCATAGATGTCCTTCCCACAGTTCCCATAGATGTCTCCAGCAGCATTAACCTTCTCAAAGCAGGTGTCTGGTGCTGGCCTTGCTCCTGCATGGGAGAGATTCACGTGAGTGACCCCTGCAGAGTCTGGCAATCTATTTCACCCCATGCCAACCACCCAATTGTTCTTTTTTTACTGGGAGATACTGAGCACGGCGATTCTGTGTTGCCTCCTCCAAGCAAGCAATGCAGTAAAAAGGTCTCCTTGGACTTCATCACTGATGAAGGCTATGCAAATGGATGTCATGTGGATCACTGCCAGCACCCTCTGATTGTCACCTGCTAATGTGCAGAAAGGGCAGCTTGCTCTGGGTTTCCCCTGATCTCACTTAGCTCCTGCTTGAGCCTGTGGTGAAGTCAACGTTCAACACCATGGTTCATCCCCCTGGAGATCTAACAGATGTTATAAGCTATTAAATGCAGCCATATATAATCTTGACTTTTCTAGCACACCTCTGAGGAGAGTTCTAGGGATACCAATAGCACCTTGTCCATTCTAGGAGACCTAGGTTTAATCTTTGATTTGTTACTGCTGTCCTGTGACTATTTCCATACCACATTCCTCCTGTATCATCTTTTCTGACTATTCAGGTTGAAGCTCTTCAGACTGTATTCCATACCATGACTGAACCATGCATACTCTGCTATTACAGGTAGAGACAATAGGTGCTATTGTCATGTACAGGGTGAATAATAGCAGGATGCCACATAATACCAGCTCTTCAAATGACAATATATTTCTTTGCCAGTCGTATCTTACCAGGCCCCCACAGCTGCACACACTGGTCTTTATAAGTGAGACACATGCCACTGTAGCAATATGCCTTTCCTCCTTCACAGGAAGCCCCATCAATTTGGTACGAGTTTGGAGGGCAAAACGGTGACTCTCCAGTGCAGTATTCTGGGAGGTCACAAAGTCCTGATCTTTCCCTGCAGAGAGTTCCTGGAGACATCAGCTAAAAGGATGCAAAGGGAAAAATATATATATTATTGCATGTCTTCTTGATGGTTTCATGTCTGCACAATGTTTCCAGTTAGATAAGGAAAAAATATTGCATTCATCTCTTCGTCATTTCATCCTAAGTTTTTTGAGGTCATCAGTGATCCAAATGACTCTGTGATTTCATTAACTAGACAAGCTGTGTAGAATCAAATTAGTGGCTGGGTCCCATTCCCTAGGTATGGATGAGATGATGCACAGAAAAAAAGGCTGACAAATCTCAAGGGGACACTGCCCAATCTCCCACTGCCCTAGGGCAGAATCTGATTTACCTAAACCATTTCTGACAGTTGTTTGGGTAATCTATTCTCAGAAAACTCCCTGCTTGGGAAGCCTGTTCCAGAGTTTGTCTATTTTTTCCACTGGAGACATTTTTCTAACGTCTAAGTTTTATCTTCCTTGCTACAAGCTCATCCAGTTAATTCTTGTCTGTCCGCCCTGGCCATGGTGAAGAGGAGGACGTGAACATGTAGCAGAGCATGTTGCAGGTTGTCATTTCTTGTGAAAGGGGTGAGAATCCAGAGGATTCCTGGTTTTCTCGCACTCAAGATAGGTTGGTAAGATCACGCAGTCAATGTGCAAACCCAAAAATGAACTCAAGAGATAATGTGTGCCTATGTTCATTTTTGAGAGAATTTGTGGATAAAGCTTCTGATCTTTGGCTCCAAAATCAAAAACTTTTTCACAAATCCTAGTGATATGAAACCACTGTGCAAACTATGGACTGAGTCATGCAGCTGTGCATTTCCACCCACTTACAACTTTGGGACCATAGATCAGACATATGCTTGTCTCTGAGCCAACACACGGAAGGAGTCAAATCTAGGGGCCTATATTCTCTCTAAAAAAAGACGGGGTGTAAAATGACCATTGTCACACACATGCATCCTTCTTTGCTAACATTTCTTCAGCAAGTACTTGGGCAAAAAGAAACTCAACCTCACCCCAAAAAAGAGGAGCAAAGATATCATTATCACCCAGCCTAATTCCAGGAGGAGGTGTTCTGTATAGATTGCCTCTAGAGCCAAAGGAGAGAAATGTGATTCGTCCCACCCTATACCAAGTGTTTAAGAAGTGCTATGACTTCATGCCAGCAGCATTTACTGCTCATCCTAATGGGTTGTATATGAGGTTATAATGGGTGTCAACTAGTTTAAATTAGACAGTGAGAGTTGGAAATAAAAGGACCCCATTGCTATGATCACACTCACAGCTGTTCTTCATAAAAATGAGACCACACTGCTCAGCGGTAGGGCGCTAAACTATGTGTTTGGCTACATTTGCTTTCCGTTCACCTCCATTTTCCAGCCTCGTGCTTCCGCCACCCCGTTATTCCCTCCCTTCTCCCAGGAAAGCCCAGCGCCCACCTTGCACTGCTGGCAGCAGCTGCCATGGGCACACTCGGCGCCCTGCTTCAGCGAGCAGTTGTTGGCGTTGCAGCAGGGGTTGTCGCACTCCTGCAAGACACGACACACAGCAGAGCTTAGACGGCAGATGTTCAAGACAAAAACGTGCCAGAGCATCCAGGTGTGCGGGTGAAGCTAATCTGTTCTTGTACATGATGAATTACATGCAAACAGAGCGTCAGCCTTCCTTCCCCAATATGTTCATTAAACCCAGCACCTGCCAGATTACTGCATACTTGTATCCTCTCTTGGATATACTGGATAGGATAGGTCGTGCTCATTACTTGTGGTGAATTTTAGCTGCTGGTTCCAGACTCTCTTTTGTCATGATTATTTGAGGCATAGATAACATGGAAAAGCAAGACGAGGTTCTAACAGAAGCCCCATCCTTATCAAGGATAGGTAGGTAGGTAAAGACAACTTAAGATATATAAAACTACTATGTGCAAGAAGACTTAAAAAAAAATGCTGTCATCCCTTCTATTTAATCACAGAATAATCTCTGAGTTCTGGAATGCATTACACTAGACACTGTAAATTTAGCTAAACGCAATACTTTACAACCTTGATTTACATTCCATATGCATTTACACACAAAGCAGGTAAGTATATCTCTTGCATAAACTGAAGCTGTTTATGTATCCCATAATTGTATTTGTAGAGTATGCAACAAAAATCATTGTGTCCCAGCTAAGCCCCAAATGTTTGGATCTAAACAAATGTTACCTCCACCTCTCCACAGTCACATTCCTCCCCCTCTTCCAAGTAGCCATTTCCACATTTCTTCCCACCATATATTTTTTTGGTATCCGGCATGTTGGAGAGACACATCCCTCCACCAGACTGCAGATACTTCTCCAGCTCTTTTCTATTGCACTGGTTGAACACCTTGGGGAATGGGTGCCTGAATATGGACAGGTGTAGAAAAACGTCATGACAGAACTGGGCAATGGGTTAGAGCACAAAAGTATGAGCACATGCAAGTACTGACACACACCAAAGGGCACAGCTCCTTCAAGTGAATCATGATTTTGTGTGCCTGTTCAAAATCAGATCCAACTTGTACCTAGACTGCTTTTAGAAATGAGATCTACTATTAGAAAGGCTAAAAAAAGGCAAATAAATAATTCTTGAAACAAAATATGAATCTTGAGAGCTCACAAGTATGGCAGTCAATATTAGTGCTGGCTTATATGCAACTCTGCTAGAACAATTCTGACTCTGTGAATTTAACTTCTGAATTTAACTGATAAAAACAGCATTTCATTTTTCCTATCTCTTGTCTCATTACAATAGGCTTCAATATTTTATTTTATATGAATTATGAATTTTGTTTTCTACAGTGATTGAATGTGAACTCTGTTCATGATCATGCATGCATTACATTCTCTATATGCAGGCCAATTCACTTTTCACATTGATATTTTCCTTTCTTGGAGGAATCACTGATGTAAAAGGAAGATATTTAAGGGAAATTATTATGTAAAAAACTGATAAAAGCCCAAACAATAAGGCTTGAGGAAACGTGACTAAGTGAATGGGTTTGGCTGGCGTTTTTACGTGACTGGAATGTGGAAGCTGTCATGTGGTTCCTCATGCAAAATAAACTAGAAATCCTCATGGGTTTCCCCACTCTCTCTTCACTTCCCTTTCTCCCAAAGACAGCTATTGCTTCCCTTTTAAATGCAGCCTTTTAGTTGACCACTGAAGTCTAGCAGAATTCCAAAGACAATGAGCAAAGCATGAAACAATTAGCATGACTGCTAACTTAGAAATACATCCTTATTGCTGTGCCTTTTAAAGGCTCTTTTCAGTCTTTTCCTGGAGAAATCCTTTCCTCTCTTTAGCACATTCTGTCACACAAAGCCTTTTGTGGGAAATGAGAACTATCTTAGTTCTCATTAATTAGAGAACTATCACTTATCTATGCATTTCATGAGCAGACAACAGCAATAAAGCCTGTTTAAATGTGGACATTTAGACAGACGTAGACATCTGCTTAAAGTCAACACACCAGGGTATGTTCAAGCCACCTCTTGTTTCTCTGTGCTTGCGGGCAGTTGGCACCTCAGAGGGAGAGATGCATGCCTGCATGCACTGGAAGCTTGTGAGCCTGCTTTGGGGTGGCGGATCATTTGGTAGGATGCAGGAGGAAGCAGAAACTCAGCAATGCAAGGTTAGAGGGACCTCCAAGACAGCTGCTCAGGAGAGAAGATTTTCTTTTCTACCAGACAGTTTAAAGGTCCACTTCTAAACACTGCCAGATCTATATGCTGTCTAAGCCCAGTCTTGGGCATGGCCATCTGATGCTGATACCTACAGCAGGCAGCAGTAGATTCACCTTCATTCTGCATTTCTAGCTCTTTCTCTCCCAAGCCTCTCATAATGAAGCCCTTGGCTTTTCCCAGCAAGACCCTGTAAAATGTGCTCACCCAGTTGCAGAAGCCATGATGCAGCCTCCATCCTCAGCACTGGTAGTGCAGCAGCCAGATGAATCATGATTCATGCCAAAGTTGTGTCCCATCTCGTGGGCAATGGTAGCAGCAACACCAATGGCATTCTCAGAGTGATCCTGTGCAAAGTCAAAGAGGTGCTTCAGTATTTCTCCCATGCCAGGCCTGTGCATCTCTCTGTCAACAAACATATGGCACTTCTCATTGCTACATGCAGAAAATATCAACTGAAGTTATTCATGACTGAGCTGGCAAGCTGGAGGCCTTCCTCGGAAATCTTTTCTTCCTAACCTTTAGGACATTTATACTACGTATTATTCACTGCTGCCAAGAAACATCTTATTAGGTATTAGGTATTATTATTATTAGGTATTAGTAATAACTTACCATGTTTACTCCACCTGACTGGAAATCAGAGCACATGGCCATCACAGGAGCCAATCCAACTGTGGTACCTTGGAATGGGACACCCCTAAAAATAACACAGGAAGAACATGAAGTAGCACTGAGGCTCTTGAGATGGTGAGACAGAGAAGAAATCCACAGCTTTATACATGAACAGAATGGGGATGAAAACATTTTCTTCAGTGATATCTGCAAGTACAGGACTTTACAGCAGAGTTACAAGCCTTAGTATCTATCTTTCTCTTGGATTAGTACTTAGCTTTATGAACCAATCAGACAATCATATATATATATAAAATACCCCATCAAAAATGAAATACAATAATATTAAAGGGGAAAAATATGGGAAAGTATCTCTAAATTTTGCTCCTAGATGGTCCTTCTCTGATTCACCACTATTTGCTGGTGAATGAATTGCCATGAGATAGCCAAGGAGGTCTACAAGTTGCTGCAGATTTTCCTTCTAACAACATCTGTGTTGCTGGCCATAGCTACTGGCCCTAATGAGAATAGTAGGAAGAGTCACACACCATCAGACAGACCCCAGCACCATGTCCCCCATGTCTCACTCAGTAAGATGAGTTAGGAATTAACAACTTCCACAAAATGCTCAGTTCCCCTTTACAGGTTTTCTTTATGGTTCAGATAAGATGTGGAAGGAAGCTGCGCAATAAAATGTGAGCATGAAAGTTCATGTACAGTTGCTTTTGATGCACACAGTAACGCTGGCTGCACTTGATTTTTAACCCTGATGCACATTTTGACACATCTGAGCTGAGTCTGTGGCATAGCCTGGGACTTTCACTTTTCCTAAAGGGATTGTGTTCTAAATGCCAGAATATTTCTGAGTGAGTGGTTACTACATAAGTCTGCTACTCCAAATCTTAGAACAATATTGACTGTATATTGATTTCCCAACCACCCAAGCAATTCACTTGGCAAAAACTGGTTATTTCTGGAAAAATAAACCTACGTAATTAGTTGGGCATTATCATGCTTTCTGTACGCCCGCTCTTTGCTGCTCCAAGCCAGAAAAGACCTCAGGGTGGAGTAAGGATTCTCAGTTACATCACATTTATTCCCATGAGTCCAGATCTCCAGCCCCACCAGGGCAATCCGGATATTCAGGGATCTGTAAAACTAAAATATATAGGAGAAGAAAGAGATGACAGACTGAGCACCAGCAATTCATTCTACAGCATTTTAAACCAAGTCTATAAACACTGCTATATGCTTCTGCAAACACACACGTCCAGGAAAGATGCTTTCTCTGGAAATGCATTGCAACTTGTCAGCCTCTGCTCTAGAAGCAGAGCACCACCCACAAACCTCAACTGCATTGGACTAGAGATGCTGAGCTTCCATTATTTAATGAATGACAGAGATCAGATTTCCAGAAAAACAAATATTAGAGGCAGGGGAGAAGAAGAGTGTGAAGAAAGCAGATGTGAGAAGCTGTGAGGAGGAACTACTTCAGGAAGACTGTTTACCACAGCAAAGATTATATCTTCCAGCTCTGTTTGGCAAGATTTCTACCATGTTAATCAGATATCTCAGCCTTTGTTGAAAAAATAAAAAAAGAACAAGAGAAGACAAGAGAAGACAAGAGAAAAACATAATTCATAATAGGGAACATAACCAATATGGAGATGTATTAAAATGCAGGATACACTTGTCAACTATATGGTAAGGAACAGAGACAGACTCTCACCCCCTCATCGCCCTTGATGTTCAAATAACAGAATTGTTTGGAAAACACTTTCCACTCCCCAAATCGCTGACAAGAAATATCAATTAATTTTCATAATTCATGATTTTAGCTTCACTTTCCTCAGTTCATTGACACCTGATCTCACCTTATCTACGTAGTTAGCCGCCTCTACTAATTTAAGCCGTGTTGCTTCAATATTGAAGTGATGCTTCTGAAACTGAACAAAATGAACATGTCAGGCTCCATGTCCTCATGTCCTCCACAAGGACAACTAGGAAGAGCTGAAATACATTAAACTAAGTCACATTATTCTGGTAATGAGAAAGCCCAAAAGCGTTCCTTCACTTTACATCCAACTACAAGCCGTCTTGTACATGTTTATATTCATAATTCCTCACTGGCCTCACACCAAGGTGTTATGGAGTTATGTTAGTAACTGAATGGAGCAACTTGAAGATCCTAGGTCAAAACACCCAGAGTCAGCAGCTGACAATGAACTGAACAAAGAACTGACAAATTTATCAGGTGTAACATAACATAACATGACTTCATGTCTAAGCTTAAGCAGCCAGAGCCCTCTCCAAAGAGGATGTTATACATTTTGCTTGTTGAAAAAGAATGAATTTGCTTATTTAAGCCACCTGATAATTAGTAAATAGATTTTGAATCAAGCAGTGTTTCGTTCAAGGAAATAAGTTACAAAATATTTAGATTTTTGTTAAACAGACTGTGAAACTTGCAAAATCTTCAAGGAAATAAGTTACAAAATATTTACATTTTTGTTAGACTGTGAAACTTGAAAAATTTGGGATTTTTCTGCCAGAGAGGGAGACAGGTAAAGTAAGGGCAGTTTATAACGATCATTGCAAGGGTGTCTACTCCTACTAGTAGTCTAGTGAAACGTTGAAGAATATCTGGCAACTGCCGACTGGATGCAATGTGTTTTCTCATAGTTTCCTTAGTATCCTCCTGCCTAGCAGAGAAGAACAAAATAGGTTTTGTCTTTGTTCAGAATAAATTATAACCTGAAGCTGTATTTGAGTTTCAAGTTGTAAATTATGGATAAGACTGGGCTGACTCCAGTCTATACTCATGATTAGATGATCACTAGAACACCACATGGTTTGCACTGTCAGTAGGTACCTCTGGCATGGAGGTCTGATTTATCATCTTAGAGCAAATTAAAAATCTTGGCTACCTTCTGGAGATTAAGTGTAGACACAGAGTACATCACCCCTGAAAACCCTCAAGTCACCCTAGGTTGAAGGCAGTCTCTTTCCCCATCAGCCTGGATGACGAGGCAGGAACCAAAGGCTCCCAAATGCTCAACAGATGGGAGCCCACATCACTTCCCTGGCTAACAACTAGCACAGTGACTGGAGGTGCTGCAGGGTCCTGACTGCGGGGACAGATGCAAATCAGACTCCCAGCTCTCCTGATAGTGAGAGAAACCCAGTCCAACCTCGGCTGCCCTCCACCTCCCCAGGATCTACAGGTGGAATATTAGCTCTGGGTCCATGCACAGCTTCTGGAAACACGATCTTTTTTCTTACCTCTGCATAATCAGCCACAAGCAGAAGTTCCACATACTTCGTAGCCTGTAAAGTCTCCCGCTTCACCTGTGCCAGCAGCAACACCAGTTATTTCCCCAGTATCCCCCAATAAACTCTTTGCTAAACATATGTAAAGGCAATTTTCCACAGTATGGTCCGCAGTGGTGGCCATCACTCCACCTCATCACACACATGAACCTTGAAACAAGATTGAGTTACCAGGTATGGAGTAACCAGGTATCACAAGCTAATTTAATTACAGCAATTGCCCATGGACATGTCCTTAGACCATCCAATTATGATTAGCTTAAAACTCTGCAAGAGGGTTAAAGACAGGTTGTTCACACCTCTCGTATCAGACGGGCAAACCTGTGCAGGAACAGGTTCAGCTCATCTAATGCTCTCTGACTTGCTCCACTGCCATGACCCGAACCCATGTGGTCCCCAGTGTTTATTTTGCTTCCCTGCTCAGCAACCAGCTTGCTACAAACCCTCTTTCATCCCCCTTGCTGAGCCATGCTCCAGAGAAGGCTCCTGGGCCTGGAGGAGTGGGAACCACAGAGCATCCCCGCATAGGCCCACAGTGCCCCGGCCTGAGCCCTGCTCACCCGGTGATGGTCTGGGGCCACCTCAGCAGGGAAGCCCCTGAGCCAGCCTTCAGCTTCAGCGCCCTCGTAGCCGCATGCTCCTCTCCACAGCTTCAGGTCTTCCAGCCTGTAGATCAAGTGCTGGTTCTGGCTGTCGGGGAGAGGCTCTAGAACATAGCTGGAATTGTGGCTCAGTACAATGAGTCCTCTGTTGAGAGGGAGGCAACAAGAAGGAAAGTCAGCGGCCTTTGCTGTAGAGGAGGCAAATTCTTCCTCTGCTGCCCAGCTCCTCGCTGAAAAGTATTTTTATAAAGCGCAACTTTGGGGAACACCTTAGTATTATTATGCTTAAATCCTGAGGAAGGATAGAAGATTCCTGATGCTAGGCACTGTGAAAACAAGGAAAACATGTAGAAATCACAGGAAGACAGCTTCTAGTGGAAAAGCTAATGGTGGCAGGGCTTTTCCTCTTGTACACACTTTTGAAAAAGGCCTCAGGGTAGCTCTTACCACTCATGATAGTAATCGGGAGCAATAGAGGTGTGGGTTTCTCTGGGACTTGCACAAGGCCATATGGTTCTGTTTTCCTCAATTGTCATTTTACAACTGTGAGAGCTAGAAAGCTCCCATGGTTAATGCCTACTGAAAGACAGGTGGCTCGAAGGGCAGCACGCCTCCCTGCAAACGCTCAGAGTGAAAGCAGATCTGTGTACTCGGCTTGTACACGCTTCCAGTAATTACAAAATGATGTCAAGTCACTAGCACACGGCCTGACAGCTCTAGTGTGCAGAAGCACTGCTGCATGTGCACATCTAGACACCTTTTTCTCCTCTGCTGCTAGGAATGGAGAGCCTAGGAAAACACAAACTGAGAGAGGCAGAGAACACCTGCTTCTGCTTTTGGATTATTTATTACAAAGTGCAGGTGGCCACACTGCCCTGTTTATGTCGCGAGGTCTTTTGGCCTGTGTTACGTTCACTTAAAGAGTGCTCAGGACTTTTTGGCAAGGCCTGTTTCCTGCCTGGACCAAGTCCCATCAAGCCCAGCTTCCAATCAGTTCTTGAGTGCACATAACCACTAATGTCAATAAAGTATATGTGGTATTTTGGAAATGAACTCTCAGCTGCTGTAAATGATTGCAGCTCCCTGGTCTCAGTGAATCGTTTCATTTACTCCTGCTGATGATATATCCTCCTTTTTCTGCCAAAGACTCCATTACTACCAAAGCTAAGATTTTAATGGCATAACACACACAATCCCTGCACCACCCAGGGAGAAACCGGATAGCAAGGGAAAGGAAACAGGGCTGACAACATGGTGGGACCTTCAGGTCGGAAGACATGGCCCCAAACTGCACAAAAAAAATGAGATGCTTGACGAAGGAGCTGATTTCTGCACTAGTGTAGAGGACTAGTCTTGGACCTCACAAGTCCTGCTCTTGTTTTCATCCAGGATACCATATGAGTCATTAGCAGGAGAAAGACTTTTACTCCAGTGGTCTCCTGAGCTAAACTCATTTAATGCATGAGTTCATGTTGCCAGCACAGAGGAGGAAGAAGTTTAGGTGCTGCCTAGGAGGTCACAGGGGCCACTAAGGGGTCCCAAACTTATGACTTTCCCTTGACATGCTGCTTTTTGTACCCAGGACTTCTGGCTGGGTGGAATTTAAGAACCAGTTTGTTTGTCCAGGATCTCCCAATCTCTGGCAAACACTACACAGCTGTTGCCACAGGAAAACCAGAAACAAACCAAAACTGGGGAGCAGAACCTGCATGGCATCACGACATAGCAAGGAGCAAAGCAAGAGATGTGGAGCAAAGGAAGAGCATTGCTGCAGCAACCGGCGCTGCCGGGCACTTACCGCAGCCCTTTGCAGGAGCTGAGCGTGACGCTGGAGCGCTCCCTGCCCCGCACGGTGCCGTGGTAGAAGCAGTGATCCTGCAAGGCAGAGCGTGCACAGTCACAGAGAGCAAGGCTTGCAATCTTGGAGTGGACACTGAGTCCCATTTGAGCACTGCCAAGGTAGGAGTACTCCAGTATTTGTCCTCTTTCCACCTCATTAAATGCTTGGCTATCATAACCAATCTCCATGAGTCTATGTATTGAAATTCAGCCTTTCAGCTGCTGCGTGTGGCCCATAGGAGTGCACTAAAATACTCCTTGCTGCCAGTAAAAACTAAGAGCTTTGAATCCCCAAGGAAGCAGCTCCAATGGCTGCAACATTAAGCCCCATCTAGAGCTTTCTGCATGTAACAGGAGCTGCCTCTCAGTGCCTGCAGACCCTGGGTCAGGCCCCAAAGGAGGTGCCTTTGGCAGCAGGAAGGGTTATGCCACGTGCAGCAGGAAATCCCTGTCTGGGGGATCCCGGCAAGACACAAGCAGCGTCGACGGGACCCAGGGGACCACAGAAGTGACATATGCCACCATGTCCCAGGGAGCAGCAGTAACAATGATCTCATGGGCTCTTTCCTATTTTTAAATTGCAACCAATGCATATCTTTGTGCCACTGCAGTGGAGAGTTGGCCCAAGGCCTGCGTGAGATCATGGATTCATGGGATTCTTGCTGAAAAGGAGCCAGCTTATGCTGGCCGGTCCTCCCAAAGGCCGGGAACTTCCCCATCAGGGAGTACCCTGTGGCAATCAAAAGGAAGGGGGCGAGCAGGGGGCTGAATAAATGAGCTCTTTATTCACCAGCATTCAGAGGGGAGCAAGGCTGGAGACCATCCTCATCTCTCATAACAGAATTCAGACAAAATACAAAAATATTTTAACCTTTTTTTCCATAAAATGGAGATACTTTCTGGCTGAAAGCTCTCAACAGGGAAAGCCAGACTTCAGTGTAGAGCTAGGGGAGCCCTGGCCCCGATGAAGGTCTCTGCAGAGGGAGCTGACCCGCTGCTCCGGGCCGGCTCCCTGCGCTTCCTGCTCCCTGCAAATGAAAGCGGCCTCTGTACTCACTGTGTGGGGCAGCGAGAGAGTCTGGGGCCGCCCGCTCTGGCTGTAATGAGTCTCCGTGTAGCCCGGTGCAAAGAGGTTTCTGTGGATACAGGAAAAAGGAAGAAAAAAAAAAAGCATTAAGGCCTTTCTTTAGACCTACAAATCTATTTCCCAGGTGTACTAGAAAATCTGCTAGATCCAGGGCTTTCTGAAGTCAGTCTAAATGTTGCTGTTGATGTGAACCTCTGCTACTGGACTGAGGACAGTCCCTGTTCATTACAGGCTGTGCCCTCCAGCCCCAAAGCAAACGAAATGTGCAGAGAACAAGAAGATGATGGGTATTTTGGAGACATTCACGGCAAACTGGGCTGAGCGCCCGCTGCTCTGGATCGGTGCTTTCCATCTGCAGGGCACTCACTGACACTCTCCCCAGGGAGGGAAGGGCTAATGGCTTGCTCAGGGCACAGGAGCAATTAGAGGCTCTGCAGAACCCAAATACTGTGCTCCCTTGTGCAGAGAGTGCTGTAATGGGAGAAGGTCGGGAGTGGACGTATATATGACCTTGCCATATGCACCTATATGCTGCCTGCACAGAAACTGTGCGCCTTATCCCATGACACACACTCACTTCCAAAAAGGTCCTTATGAATAAAGACAATAAAGAACCTGTCCCCGGGTTCGATCAAGTGAACAACCCAATTTAATGTGATGAAAACAAAAAAGGAGAGAGAGAGAGAGAGAAAGCCCAGCAGCAGTATCTGCCCAAGCAGGTATAGGTCCCTACAGTGGGATTCATATTCTACTGAAAAGTTATTATGACCAAGTATATTGGGATTAGATTCAGCATACCAAGTCCAGTGTACCAGTTCAGGACATGACTGGGCATTGCTCAGGACATCCAGTATAGCTAGTGCAAGTTCGAGTTCAAATCTAGAATCTTTCTAGTCTGTCAGTTTGTACTGTGTGAGCACAATTATAAACCAGTCTGCACCTATATGTCAGCATCATCTAAGAAGCCAGATAACATCTTTGTTCTATGCAAATGCTGATTCCCCATTTTCAGTTTGATCCTTTCATCCTTAACACAGACAGTATTCCCTGACTCGAGCCCAGAATCAGACAAATGTCTATAAAAAGCACTCCTATGTGCTGAATAGTAAGTATTTTGACTTTGTTCCAGAAGCAGCATCTCATCTTTCCCCTTTCTCCAAACATCTGTATTTGCTAAACAGTGGTGTAAAAAAAAAAGTGCAGCAAGTCAAAATCTGGGCCAAACCAAAAGTCACATCCTGTGTCTATCTCAGAAGCAGCAAGAGAGCTTTAAAAGACATTTTTTTATATACCAGTTGTCTAATTTCCAAAAACAAATGAATAAATAGAAGGGTTCGTACAGTATACTTCATGTCAAACACATAGCAACCTGCATGATGCTATTAGGCTACCAAAGAAGCACATTTGGCTAGTGCTAGGATGCTGTGCACCAACATCACAGTGCTGGCAACGCTGCAGCTACAATTCAGTCCTTGCACATTGCTGTTTAATACATTTTGTGTGCCAGACTTTTGAAATATGACCTGCAAGCTAGAAGGAAAGCAGAAAGCGTTATTCTCTGCTTAATTTCTTTAGGCTGAATAGAAAGTCCTGAAAGATTGAGCTGATTCAGAAGCAATCAGAATTGGGGATTTTTTTGCGCTTGATTTGGATTTTGATACGTGACACTCAGATCTAACCTACCTTGAAAGACCATGTCTGAATAAGGGACTGAGTGTTTTTGATGTCAGAGCAATTTGGATTTTGATACGTGACACTCAGACCATGTCTGAATAAGGGATTGAGTGTTTTTGATGTCAGAGCGCTACTCAAATTAGGCATCAGTGACTGGAAAGAAACAAATCTTTTTCTTGTAATGTTTAGAAGTGCTTCCCCCATCCTAGGTTTAAAGGCTCAAACATCTGAACATGTAACAATGACTTAGTTTCTGGGCACACCACTATTCTATCTGAAACCATTGAACAGTTAGGAATACAAGAGTTTTTATGTTCTCTTTCAAAATTTATTGTATCCCAGGAAACCTCATTTTGTTTTTTTTTCTTGTTTTGCTAATTTTCATCACTAAGCATCTTCCAGAAAGCAAGATTGCTGTTATCAGCTCTTTTGCTTCTGTAAACTGCAGATAAGCCCCGAAGTGCCATACCGCAGAGCAGGACTCCCTTCATCTGTCTGTCTGCGGTAGCTTGCTCAGTTGCGAGAAACAACCGTTTCATCAACAGATTGCATCAGCTTGCAGGAAGTTGCCTTGAGCAATGAGTTCAGGCAGGTGTCTGGTTTCTGTAAGAGCTTGTCATGTTGAGAGCAGACATTAAACTGAGGCAGATCTGTCTAGTGCTACTAAAATCAGAATTAGATACCAGCCCCTGGGTTCCAGGAGTTGGGGCCTGCACGGCTGACTATTTCATTCACAAACAAGCAGGCTTGTGTTTTCTTCCTGCTCCTTTATCCTTGGAAAGCATCCCCTACAAATAGCTGTTTTTTCTGGCTTTCAGCAGCTTCCATTGCACTCCTTGATGCTTATCTCCTGGTGGCCAGTCTTGACCTTCTGTCCCCACCCCCTGCTTTACCCAACATAATTTCAAGACACGGAGCATGATGCTGGATGAAGGGCTGGCTCCGGGAGAACTCAGCCCTGCAGTGCTGACAGACTCGCTCGCTATTTCCATCAGAGCAGGGAGCTCAGCACCTTGCTGAAAGATGAAAGCCTAAGAGAGAAAATTGCATCATTTGATCCATTTTTACACAGCTCAGTATCTACCTCTCCAGCAATTCTACAGGAAGATGCAAATGCCTTTAACATTTGAATGTAAAATATCATCATTTAAATGCTTTAGTGATACAGTGTCACACAGCTGGCAGCTTATCATCTTAATAAAAGGCAGCAAGAACCACATTTTAGAGGGCTAGCAGCACAAAGGATGGATGAGGCCAAAGGAAAAGTGTTTTTTTGTCAGGATCAATCTTTGCTAAACCCTGGTCACAGCTGGCAGCTGTGTGGGGCTATTTGAGGTCAGTTTAAGTGACAGGGGAGCTCGGGATGTCCTAGAGAAGCCCTCCCCATTTTGCAATAGGGACCGGCTAGCGAGATGGGGCGTTCCCCGCTCCGTACACCCTATCCCTGTCCTTTGGAACGTGCACACTGGCCATGGCAGCCCGCCCTTGGCAGGACTCGCTCAGCAAAAGCCTTGGAGCAGCTTCCACATGAGCAAGGAAGCTGAAAGAAGAGCGGCTCTGTGCCATAATGTGCAGATGGCCTGAGATTTTCTGCTGATGACCAGCCTGGAGAGCTCTTGTCTCTTCTCCTGCCTGTCGACAATGCTGTTGTAAACCCAGCCTGGCACTTGGTGCCGTTGGGCTGCTCTGCGAACAGGCCCTGCGGCAGGCGCTGGCGGTGCCAGGCAGCACTCTGGGGTTTTGCCTTGTGGAGACGTCACGTTAGTCCGGTCACAACTTCGCACAGGAGCCAGCGGGAGAGACAGGCTGGGATCACGGCTGGCCCATGTGGGGCAAAACCACGGCCTTCTCACAGGGAGCTGCCACATGGCATGTGGGACATGGTGAGAGCAGAGCCTCCTGCTCACCTTGCTACCAAAAGGGAATGGAGAAACAGCCATGTGATGGCCACGCTGGGCCACCCAAGTGACCCAAACAGCACAAAGAAGTCAGGGTTGTAAGTTAGTCCCTTCATTAGCTTTGTCTGGGTTGATGTTACAGAGGGGCTGGTCTGCACAGACAGCTGCCAATTTTACACCCCTGAGTATCAAGTAGACAAACATTCTTTCCTTCCTCCCCTAAAATAAAATAAAATAAAAAGGTTCACAGCACTCTTGTAAGAAACATCAGCTCTTAATTTTTTTAGTCCTGGGACCTAGAAAAGTGAAGTCAGACTGTGGTCTCTCACATATCTTTCCCTGTCCCTTTGCTCAAATCACAATAAATCTCTCCAGCCTGGCTGCCAGCATCTGGATTGGAGGGGATCGATTCTCCCAAGGAAGTTAGACATCAAATTTCCATCCATGATTTGTGGCCCTACTTTATTGCCTCTGAACATTTCCAAATAGGGTAAGAGTGGGGAATTTCACTTCTTACTTCCCATTCACTTAAATCTTACATTAAGAAAGAATTTATTATTAGAACCTGAGGTGGCCCAAACCTGAACATCACTAAAATGTGACCCCCCACAATAAGAGCAGGCAGGCCTGCTTTCTGTATCCATCACAAGGGGAAAATCAGAGATATCACCTCCGATTGAATCCTCTGGCCAAAACTTGGCACTTCATTAAATCACTGAAATCCAAAATCATTTTCCTGGTGTTGGCAAGTCTTGTCCAGACCAAGCCTGGAGCTCTTAAGCTCACTTCCTCAAGAGCCCTTTCTAATGTGCTGTTTATTTTTCTAACAGAAGTATTTTGAAAGGTAAAAGTAGTTATCCAGCTTTGGAGACAAAAATTAAACTACCTATTTGCAACGTCTTAGAAAATATCACAGGCTGAAGACTCCCTGCTGCCGTGGCTATCCATATTATCTGGGACATTTGGTGAGTGAATCATCTTACAGTGCCGGAGCTACAGAGCAACATTTGTCACATAGGCCCTTGGCTCAGCAATCAGAACTATAAAAGTCACCTGGAGAGGAAAGAAAATGAATAGGAAATTGGCTAATAATAAGAGCCAGGGAGCAAACAATTTAAAGGACTCCATTTCCTTGTCTTTTCCTCCCTCACACAGAAAAATGGCTAGAAATCCCAGGAGAGTCAGGAGGATGAACAGCAGCTATGGCTTTCCAAACTCCAACCCTGTTTTTATGATGACTCTAAGAGACAGTAGAGCAGGAAAATCTCTATTTTTCTCCATGACATAACCCTTTAACTCTCAGCACAGGAAGCCTATTAGACACTGATAATGTATAGGCCAACAGTGGGATAATCTCAGATATCCTTCCTGCCCAGAAACGGACAGCCACCTCCCCTCTTCCTCGCTCCATTGATTAAAGCGGCACTGGAAATGAGAAAAAGCAGGAAACAGTGAAATGCAAGTGATAATGCAGATCTCTTATCAGAGTGCTGAGAGCATCAAACAGGGCCAGAGCACTTGGCAGCTACACAGCTGTGACCCAAGGAGGTTGGAAATGATGTTTTTCCTTATCAGACCCATTTGACTAAAAATAACTATGTGGATTGGTCTGGGGCTGAATTCAGATGAGTTCTGGGGTGTCTTTATACCACCCTCAATCAACTGCTATACACTTTAACCAAAGCCACCAAAGCCCCCCACAAGCCAGCACCAGCTCCAGGGAGTGGAAGTCACTTGAGGCTCCCCTTGTGCTTCAGAGGCATCTCTGAAATTTTCTTATCCCCAGCCCAAACAGCTGCAAGGCCACACACGGTGGCCTGACAGCTCTTCAGCCCTTGTGCCAACATCACAGCCCAGTGCCTAGGCTGGCCCTCAGCCATGACTTCTCCTGGAGGACCCTCTACTGCGTTTTCCAAACCTGCTTTCCCCAATGGGAAGTATGAAGAGGAGAAAGAGGATATTTGGGATACTTTTCTGATTTCAGATGAGAAAACTCCACATAGATTTTTGCTGTGAAACTATCAGCGCTCTCCTTCACTACAAAGGAAAGGCTCCCACCAGGCAGCTCTGCCACACACAGTCCGAGCTTCTCCACAGTGTCCCAGCATCCCCACCACGCTTGGCTCAAGGCTGCTTTTTATTAACAAATGCAAAAGCTTTGGAATAAAAAGTCACTTTGCATCCAAGGCTTGCAGCTCACATTCTTCCGTTTCTAAGCCCTGGCCAAATTTAAAACTGTTTTATGGGCATCTCTCCATATATTTGTTGTTTGTGCAGCTTGGAGGTTTCCAGCCCTGCAGCTGCAAGACATGGGTTTGAGTCATTTAATCTGAATCATTTGGGAAATATACTTTTGTCATTACTCGGAAATGTTATACAGTGTTATAAACTTTACTTGGAACTATAGTGTGGTTCCACCTTTAAGGGCTTGAACAGGAAATAATGCAATGGTTGCTGCTAATGCAATAATTGTATTCTTAAATATGAGAGCTAAGCTGTTTGCTGAGTGTATTACAAAATAGAGTTGTACAGGGTTCTGAGCAGAAATATATGCACTAATTTCTGCTTTTCATCTTTATGGATGAATACAATATCCTTTTCATACTGAATATTAAATTACATGTTTATAAACACTTCTTCCACATATTGAAAACAGTGTATTTCTTTTGAAACTTCTGCACTGCTACCAAAGCCCTCCAAAATATAATTTTATTCCACCCACCCCCAACCTCCTTTGAAGCACGGTTCACATTCATTGACTCTCTTTCTCTGTAAAGACAAGGCTGTCTAATCCCCCGAGGGCAGCACTTATTCCAAGCCATAGAAAATGAGGCTGTTGTATCTCCTTTTGAGCCTCAGGACCATCCGATAAATCAAGATGCTCGCCAGGACCTGAAGGCCCTCAGCAGAGCTGGTTTCCAAAGGCTGCTCTGCAAACCCCATCAGTTAAATGGCCCAAGGCTGTTTGAGACCGGCCTAGTCTTTGTTTCAAGTTTGCTTGGATGAGGCACTTAGCACTCCAGAGGTTCTGCCTTCTCTAATGCTCTCCTGGAACCTTACAAACCCTTGGGGGAAGAAGTACCCGGCCATGTCATTATTTGGTGCAGAAGACAGCAGATTAGGAACAGAAAATTCAGCTGAAGAGAAAGCAGTAGTAATGATGAGCTCATGGATGTGAGGAACTGCCACCAACAGCTGTGGGGTCTGCCTTGCTGCAACTTCATGAAGACTATGCAGTTTCCATCCTCTCCAGTGAGAAGTGGTTACTGATGCTGATTACTAACATCACCCACAGGGCTAGCACGATCCTTTTTTTTTGTTTGTTTGTTTTTCCTCTCTCTCTCTCTCTCCTCTCCTCCCCCACCTCAGTCTGCCTCATCGTTCCCCTTTTTGCTTTGAGTGTCTCCATAAACTACTTTAGCACCTTTAGAGGTCTCTGGGAAGTAGTGGCTCTCTAGAACTCTCATCTAATCAAGGTCACGGACTTGTGTTTTGGGATCATGCCATTGCCTTTCTTGAGAAAGGACTTGAGGCCTGGCAAAACTCCTACTTGAGGCAGTGCTACCCATAAATGACTTCTATTTCCCCAGAAAACAACCCAAACCTTCAAACCACTTGCTGTATTTCATCGGTCCCGGTGAGCAATATACCCTTCGGTGGAAGTGTGTGTGTGTGCATGCATATGCAAGCCTGCTTATACAGCTCAATGAATGAACTTGCATTTCAGGAAATAAACACAATAGAAGCCCTGTATTATTATAATTCTGTTTACTAACACAGGCAATGAGTTCGTCTGCAGTGGAAAAACCAGGGCACCGTTCCCGCAAGGCACCTGGGATTATGTCATCATCCTCAGAGCACAGACTAATCCAGCAAGGATCCTCGCGTTGGCCAGTTTCCACCGTGCTAGAAACATCTTCACCTCTGCAGTTACTGCAGAACATTCCAGACCTGTCAGTCCTTGTGCTAGGGAAGAGGCCCCCATCAGCAGTTAAGCTCCTTCCAGGTTCAGGTCAGGGACCATCGCTGCTGACATCTGTTGTCAGCAGCAGCTCATTTGCTTGCTCCAGGCAGGACCTAGTTAGCAGTTCTTTTACTGCCTGGTCTCATCTATCACTTCTCTATTTTCCCAGCTGAGAGATATGAAAATACAGAGAATTTACGACCACTTCTTTTTGGCTCAAAATGGCATACTACTGACCGAGAAACATACAATTTTGTCAGCCCTGAAATTCCCAATAGCTTAGATGGTCTATTACAGAAAACACCTTGGAGAATGTACTCTTATCACTCATCCAATTTCAGGCTTTACTGCATACGGTGCCAAGAAGAACCTGGTGTTCTTCAAAGATACCCTGATTGCCATTTAGGTTTGTGTATTGCCACAGAACTAATAGTGTTTTCTGGTATTTCATTCCTCTCTGTCAGGAAGAGAGCTAAATCCCCAAGTTCTGAGTGTCTGGGGATATCCATAGAACCCATCTAAAATATGGCAAGGGTTATTATCCCAAAGTCATTGTTCTAGCAGACAAATACTCTAGCAGACAAATATTTTTTGGTTTAGTTTCCATGCTTAAGAGACAGATTGAAAACAAACAATTAAAAAAAAAAGTGTGAAGAGAAAGCTTAGCAAGGAAGAGCTTATTGCAGTTGATTTCCAGCTGGTGCCCATTGCTGGAAGTTAATCCACATAAACAGCCTGGGACAGAGCAAACCTCCAGACAAGAATCACCCCACCTACTTTATCCCCCTGCATTTGCCAATGATTTCAATACAGATGACCTATGTGCGCATAACATTGCTGTATCATACCAAGAAAGTGGCTACATTTCAGTAAATGCACAGGCACTTTTGGCTCCACTTTAGCATGAAGGGCACTAATGGAATTGAGTTGTCAGATCATTTCTCCCGGAAACAGAGCAAAATCTCTTTTGACCACAGCAAATTAATTCCTCATTAGAGCTGCACTGACTCTAACGCAGTGAGCCACTTGGTGAACAGTGCACCTCATAGCAGTGACATTTTCCAGCTAATGCAAGAATAAGTTTATATGTTGCAGACCAGGTCATCATTGTTTTTTTTGCTGAGAAAGCTGTATTGAAGCCAATGCCGCCTCTGATTAACAGCAGCAGAGGCTTAGACCTGGAATAACCTTGAAATCCAGAAAAGGATTTCCTCATCCTGTCTTTATCAAAACCCCGTTGAAGTCAGTGGAGATTTTCCTGTTGACTTAATTCATTATTGCAGCAAGTACACGACTCCAAACACAGTGCGCAAGCACTCACCCGTTCTTCTCCAGATCCAAAATCAGATCTTGTCCTTCTACCTTTATCCTGACTTCAGCTCTGAATGGATGCTGTGTGCAAAAGAGACAGTGCTTGTTATTCATATATCACCATAAATACAAAAACAACCAAAAGCAAAACCAACAAACAAAAAAAAAAACCCACACCACACCAGCAAAACAGGAACATGGAAACTGGAACTGCCTTTAAACCTCTCCTCACTGCCCTCCACAGGTGAGGGCCTCACTCCAGGGCATGGGAAGTGATTAGAGCTCAGAGGGCCAAGAGAGGTGCCAGACTTAGCATCAAAATGATGAATTTCTTAGTACAAAGACAAGTATACGCACTAAAACATTACACACTAAACAACATTAAAATTGAAAAATAATTCAGGAGGTTGAAAATAACCTCATAATGCTAGAAATGACAACTGGAAAGGCCTCTGGAAGTCTCTAACCTTGCTTCCTTTACTAGATGAGGTCAGCTGGGGACTTCTGAGTCTGAGAATTTTATCAGAAAGGAAATGGATGAATAAAGTCTTGAAAAGAAAGGATTCTCTTTGATAAGAACAGACTTTTCTATTCAGTTGAAATTGCATATAAAAATGGAGGGAGATCACCAAACCATACTATTTCCTTATTTATTGTTGGAGGGGATTTTGCAGAAGTCAAACTCAAAGCACAATAAGACAAGACAGACTGAATAGGGCATTCAGTTGAAAGACCAGTCAGCCCATGGGCATTCTTGGGTGTCACTTCATCAGTTTCAAACTCAGTTACAAACCTCTCCTTTCATCAACTCTGATTTTCTTTCTATCTTCAGTTTCTAGGACATTGCTTCAGGCCCATGCAGATGAAGCACATGCAGGAATGGCTAAATCCAAGGGGTAACTTCTTGCTTACTTGATTTGCAAGTGCTCATTGAGTCTCAGGTTACATCTGTTTTGCTAACACAAAAGGAACAGCAATGGAAGTTGCCTTGTCCATAAGGGAATCTGAGAGTATCCATCAACAAATCTCTTCATAAAGTTGTGCAAACATGACTATTACTGATATTGCTTTCTCCTCTCCTCAATAGTCCCACCACTTTGGAATCCATCAATTGCTGCAACTGAAATAACCCAGCTGTAATTCTAGGCAGGCTCTGCTAACAGTGGTTTTGGAGCCAACAGCAATTGGCTTGAAACAAACCAAGCGAGACCCCTGAGACCCAGCAAATTTATGCAAGGACAAATGCTGTCCAGATGTATTTGTAATACAATCAATAATGAGGAGATTCAGGACTTCCAAACTGCACTGCAAGAATATTTTTAAGAGAATTAACAGCACCAGAAAAATATCATTGTTTTTTTCCCAGTAGGAGAGAAGAGGAGAATTTTAGAAATTCTCATGTGACTAAGACATAAAACTAGCGTTATCAACAATTCTCAGTTGTGGCAACTGGACTGCTAGGAAGCTGAGCTGCATCTGTGGTTGGAGCCTGGTGTCCTGGGGCTTCTCAGACTAGCTGCAAGCTCTGCACCCAGCCCTTCACCCTTACACATAAGGAAGGGGATGTGGGATTCATACAGCTGCATGTGGCATCAAAGACGCATTTATCTTCAGCTGAGCTTCTGGTTGGTCTATTTATTACCCTCATAGATGTGATTCTTTCCCTTCTTAAGGAGGATGAAGTAGCTCCACAAGTGTCACTGCTTGCATTGCCTCAGTCCTCAGGGAGGACACACAGAGCAGGTGAGCTTGGAGGCGAGTTTTAGCACACGTGGGAGGTAAAGTGATTGCAAGCGCTACAGCAGGGCTGTGCAAGGAGCAGCCTCACACTCGTTATCTGGGCCTTGGTAGTCACCTCTCTCAGCCTTTCTCTGTTCCTGGAGAGAAGTGCCAGCTCTCTGCTCTGCAGATGGCTCTGTCTTGTGCCTACAGCTTGTCACCGAGCTTAAAGGACTGAAGCACAAGGTCTTTTATTAGTCAAGATGCTGCCCCTCCCCTGGAAACTGTGCAGCTTTGAAAGCAAGACACACATTTCTCGCGGTCCCAGCGCTGTGCACCACCTACCTTCTCGCTGCTGGGGCTCCCCGCCGCTTCCCACTGCGGTGTCACCACCTGGGGCGGCAGCTCCGGGCCGGCGGCCGCCCCCGCG